GGCTGTGTCCGAAATCGCCCCCTATACCCTTAAATAGGGCACTATTTGAGGGAACAGCCATTTTTAGTGGTGTCCGAAACCATAGTGGACGTTCTCGAGTGCACTCAATCAATCCCACAATGCACTGCAAAAACGAGTGTACAACTGGTGCACGCTCAATGGCTAGAGAATGCCCACAATGCACCGTGAGAGTCACGCGCCGAATGAATTCCCGCATCTCGCCAGAAGATGGCGCCCGCAGCTGACTCATCCATTAATTTTAGCGTAATACAACACAGGTACAAATTCATTGTAAATTGATTATTAAATGGTTTAACTAGGGTTTATACATAATTTCCGTGACAGAGTTCAAGATAAATCCTTTAATCTTACTACTGGAGCTGCTAGTTTGCTAGTTTCAAATGATTAATAAACAGCAAGCACAAACTATGCAAAAGCAGCATTCCTTCTGGTGCACTCAGTGTCCGAATTCACTACTCGTTTTCATTCACTCCTTCTAGTGAACTGAATTAGTGACCTAATGTAGGGAATATTGAATGAGGGTACACTCTTAAAAATAAAGGTGCTTCACGATGCCATAGAAGAACCTTTTTGTCTAAATGGTTCCATAAAGAACCTTAAACATCTGAAGAACCTTTCTGTTTCACAAAAGGTTCTTTGGGGCTAAAAAAGGTTCTTCAGATTATAAAAAGGTAAGAAAGAGATGGTTCTTTAAAGAACCTTTGACTGAATAGTTCTTTGTGGAACCAAAAATGGTTCTTCTATGGCATCGCTTGAAGAACCTTTTGAAGCACCTTTATTTTTAAGAGTGGGGACGATTTTGGACACAGCCCTCTTCTGTGAGACGCGAGTGCAGCAGTCGTATTTGTCCATCTATACGCTATTTGCTTGGTTTCGGTTTTAACCTAATGAAAAAGCTACTATATTTCTCTAATATTTTGAATGAATAACGCAGCAGCTGCGCGTCTTGTGGGCTAGACTAACAAAACATTAAACTACAACGTCACTTGTATCATCATCACCGCATCTCGTGCTCCACTGATGACGCTCCCTGACGCACATCTAACATTGGATTGTACTATTTTCATTAAAATGCAAATGTTTATTTTAAATTTGTATTTGTATGAAATTTGTATGAAACTAATATTCATTCTTTACTCACAATCTCCTCATCACAGGCAGGCACAGCCATCATGTTCGTGTTTGTGTGTGCTGTCTGCATCACTAATAGCACGTGCCTATATCGTGCACTATATCGAACATTTTTTATATTGTTATCGAAGAAGGTGTACCGTCGATAAATATCAATACCGTTTTATCGCCCAGGCCTAGTGCGGAACATTCCCGGCAACAGAACACCATACTACAGGACTATCCCCAAAAAACAGGATGTCTGGTCACCCAAAACTATTAAAAATCAAAGTTCCAAAAGTGGGTTTCACAGTGTTGCCATAAAGAACCTTTCAGTTAACAGTGAAAATATTTTCTTTCTTAGTGTGAAGAACATTTTAATAATCTAAAGAACCATTTTCCACTATGAAGAACCTTTTGTGGAATAGAAAGGTTCCATGGATGTTAAACGTTCTTCATGGAACCATAGATGCCATGAGTGAATGTTAGATGGTTTGCTAACAGGATCCATTGGATTTTAATCAAACCTGAAAGTGTTTCTCTGTGTTCAGGTGGGGTGCAAGGCAGTGATGGTCTTCTTCCACTACTGTGTGATGTCAAACTACTTCTGGCTCTTCATCGAAGGTCTCTATCTCTTCACACTCCTGGTGGAAACCTTCTTTCCTGAGAGACGCTACTTCTACTGGTACACTATCATCGGCTGGGGTATGTCACAGTGATGCATCAAACAAAAATGGATTGTTTATGATTGATTATGTGTCACAGTCATAGATATGGATGGAGATGGAGTGCAGCGGTTGTGTATTAACAGGCCACTGGCTCTTTATGATGTGATTTGTTGTGCTGGCGTATGTAATGCATTCATATTGATGGTCTAAATGCATTGGAGAACAGCTTTGAGGTCTGACAAATTTCCTCTTTCTCTCGCGCTTTCAGGAACGCCCACCATTTGTGTGACCATATGGGCCGTTCTGCGCCTTCACTTTGATGATTCTGGGTACGTGTAATGCCGCATAAACAAAGATTGATACACCGTTTTTGTTGCTACGCAAATGCTGGCACTGAACGTCAGTGTCACTAGTCACAATAATGAAACTGTTTGGAAAGTAATACTAAAATATGAGCGTGATTTTAACAGTAAAAGACTGTAAAAATGCTACTGTAAAAACCTGGTACAAAACAGATATTAGTCCTTCAATAGGTTGGTATATTAACATTATGTTAGTTAATGCCAAAAGCCTGATGTATCAAAAATGAAACTCAACAAGAAATACATATGCAAACTTATTATATTTTGTCTAAAGTTTCAATAAACTGTTCCATTTAAAATTTTTGGACTATTATTTCATATGTCAGGCTTTACAGGTTTAGAAAAAAATTGAGTAAATTTCGAGTCAAGCACGTTGCATTATGTGACACAATTTTCCAGGCAGTGTGTGCTGTTGTATATTGCACAATTAGGCAAATGCAGTAGGGCATCTGGCACATACTGAATGCTATTTTCTTTCAAAAGCATGCAGTTTATCATCCTGAACTCTTAGCTGCTAAATCATGTGACCTAGCCGACCAATAGCAATAAAGCTTCTTACAGTAAATCAATTGTATTTCTGCAGTTGCTGGGACATGAATGATAATACTGCCCTCTGGTGGGTGATCAAGGGACCCGTTGTGGCATCAATCATGGTAAGCCAAAAAAATATCAGTTTTATGTTTTTAGCTAAAATGTGGATACATACAGCATCTAAATTAATTTATATATGTGAATGGAGCCATATTCCATACTATAATAACTGCATGCATTTCCTTTCAGATTAATTTTGTCCTCTTCATTGGAATCATCATAATCCTGGTGCAGAAGCTGCAGTCTCCAGACATTGGCGGGAACGAGTCCAGCATCTACCTGTGAGTATGTTAGTCTCAATCACCATGGAAACAGAGTGCTGTTGTAGCGTTGTGTCTGATTAGTCGATATGATGGATCACATGATGGTGGCTGAAATGAAATGAAAGTCTTGTTAGTATAGTTCCCATATAGTTCCCGTTTGGTTAGTTTTGGGAACCAAATAGAGTTTGTGTGTGTGTGCGTGTGTGTGTGTGTGTGTTCTGTCCTAAAGAGTGTTTGTTGTCTTTGTCGTGTTTAGCAGCTGTGCACAGAAATGCTTCCGTGAGCCCACACAGGCCGCCCAGCATTCGTGCAGGATGTCAGAGCTTTCTACCATCACGCTGTAAGTGTGTGTGTTTGTGTGAATGTGCTTGTGCTTGTGCATCTGCGTCTGCCAACAAATGTGCATTTTTCATTTTTAACTGTCCATTGAGAAAGAAAGGCTGTGTGAATATTCACTGCAGATAGTTTTTGTGGTCTTGTCTGTAGTTTTATTACATGCACACATTTGGTAGACATTTTTATCCAAAGCGATTTACAGTACTTTGCACTCATATTTAAATGTATTTCTATCAGTTGCATTCTCTGGGAATCGAACCCATGCCCCTGTTGTTGTTAGCACCAAATTCTACTGTTTTAACTATAGAACTTTCAAGTTTTACTTGCTGGAAAATCTAGCTTAAAGTTGCCTCTTTGTTTTGGAACTGGTGGTTCAAACTGGTCCAGTCTGGTTTAGGTGGCTGAGCAGTCGGTCTTGGTCTTGGTAGTAGTGGCTGATTGATACAGGTTTTCAAAAATTAAATTTTTTATTTCACCAAAACTTAACATAATGTTTATGTTAACATTTATTAACATAATATTTATTGGAATATTTTATAAAAATCTTTAAACTAATTTAAAAAAATGAAAACTGAATTTTAACTGTGTTATTCATCCACAAAATACATTTTTTGGAACCAGATTTTAACATTTTTTATGGAACCAGATTTTGGAACCAAAACAGGGTGAACTAACCCACATATTTCAACTATACCAAATTAATCATCCAAGTAGTTTTGGTTGTTAACCCAATATTTTTTTATATTTTTTTTATATACAGTGGGTACGGAAAGTATTCAGACCCTGAGCATCTCTGGAGAGACCTAAAAATGGCTGTCCACCAACGTTTACCATCCAACCTGACAGAACTGGAGAGGATCTGCAAGGAGGAATGGCAGAGGATCCCCAAATCCAGGTGTGAAAAACTTGTTGCATCTTTCCCAAAAAGACTCATGGCTGTATTAGATCAAAAGGGTGCTTCTACTAAATACTGAGCAAAGGGTCTGAATACTTAGGACCATGTGATATTTCAGTTTTTCTTTTTTAATAAATCTGCAAAAATGTCAACGATTCTGTGTTTTTCTGTCAATATGGGGTGCTGTGTGTACATTAATGAGGAAAAAAAATTAACTTAAATGATTTTAGCAAATGGCTGCAATATAACAAAGAGTGAAAAATTTAAGGGGGTCTGAATACTTTCCGTACCCACTGTATGTCTAAGTTTCAATAAATTGTTCCATAAAAAATATATATTTCTGACTATTATCTCATATCTTAGGCTAGACTTTAATTGCAGATTTTGTTATTTCAGTAATGCACAGCCAAACATTGTTGAAATCTCTTCTGAAAGTCTAGAGAAGAGACACATGAGATTATTGGGATCTTTTGGTCAGGAGAAACATCTGAGAAGGTCTCCATTTGCTCTTCTGCTGGCTAGGAAAAACAATAGATATATTAAAGAGACCTTCTTTCCTGTGGAGCAGGATTTGTTGTGGAGGGCTCTGATCTCCTGTGTATTACAGTAATTGTGTGTTGACATGTTGAGAGATTTAATCAGCCATCTGAAGGGCCGTGTGTGTGTGCTGTGTGTTGACAGGCGTCTGGCGCGCTCCACCCTGCTCCTCATCCCTCTGTTTGGAATCCACTACACTGTTTTCGCTTTCTCCCCGGAGGATTTCAGCAAGCGGGAGCGACTGGTCTTTGAGCTGGGCCTAGGCTCCTTCCAGGTACTGGGTGTCAGCTTTTATAGTTGCAACTTTAGTGCTGTATTTTAGAAACACCTCCGTGGACACTATTTCTCTGTTCCAAACCAGTGAGCTGCCAGAATTGGTATCATACAGCAGGTGCGATCCCAACGCAAGGGCTGTTCCAAACATTGGGCATCAATATTAAATGCTGCCTGAATATAAGCTTTTGTGGATTAGACGATTTCAGAATGCATTGCAAAAATGACAGATAGAATCAGTAAAAAATAAAATAAAATAAATAAATAAATACATTTTCATAATTCCCAATGTATGTATATAATGCCAAAAGAAAGAAAGAAAATCGTTTAGAGCATTTTAAAATAAATAAGCACCAGTTAAGCGGCGATACTTTTGAACTGTAAAGTACTTTAAAATGATATCCACTTGACCACACTCACTTTATCTCTCCACAGGGGTTTGTGGTGGCCGTGCTGTACTGCTTTCTGAATGGAGAGGTAAGAGCTTTTGGTTTGATATTCTCAAATGCATGCAGTCAGCTTTGATATTAATTTGATATATGTCTGGGTTTGCTCTGAAAACATTACGTTTCCCCAATAATTTATCCAATATTGCTATATAAAAAATTATTTAGTTACTGCCAAAACACTTTACCATGTCCTGACCAGGTGTGATGCGATTAAATAATAAACAATCAGTTTCTTCCATGTTAAAGAAATAATTCACATAAAAATAAAGCAATTTTTCACATTGCAACAAGACATATTTTGTGTTGCATTGCTCTAAGTAGCCCCGCCCACAATGAAATCTCATTGGTCCAAACATAAAACATCAAATGTGACCCTGGACCACAAAAGCAGTCTTAAGTCGCTGGGGGGTATATTTGTAGCAATAGCCAAAAATACATTGTATGGGTCAAAATTATTGATTTTTCTTTTATGCCAAAAATCATTAGAACATTAAGTAAAGATCATGTTCCGTGAAGATATTTTGTAAATTTCCTACTGTAAATATATCAAAACTTAATTTTTGATTAGTAATATGCATTGCTAAGAACTTGATTTGGACAACTTTAAAGGCGATTTTCTCAATATTTAGATTTTTTTTGCACCCTCAGATTCCAGATTTTCAAATAGTTGTATCTCGGCCAAATATTGTCCTATCCTAACAAACCATACATCAATGGAAAGCTTATTTATTCAGCTTTCAGCTGATGAATACATCTCAGTTTGGAAAAATTGACCCATATGACTGGTTTTGTGGTCCAACGTCACAAATATGATTCTGATTGGCTATTATTTTGTGCAATACTTTGCTTTCTGTGTCCACAGTCAAATGACTTGATGCTAGAAACGTGTCACGTCTGGCTAGGACATGGTGTAAAGCATGTGAGAGAGCGTGGACTGGTGGAGAACGCGTGCACCTTTACAGCTGAGTACATTAAAAAAATGACCTTTTCAAGTTTCTCCCTAAAGGTGCAGTCGGAGATAAAGAGGAAATGGAGGAGTTGGACGGTGAACAGGTACTTTGCTGTGGACCTGAAGCAGCAGCGTCATCCTTCGCTAGCGAGCAGTGGGGTGAACGGGGGGACGCAGCTGTCCATCCTCAGCAAGAGCAGCTCACAGATACGCATGTCCAGCCCTCTGGCCGAGACGGTCAACCTCAACCTGCCCACCTGAGCGCCTGATTGACCAGTCCGTCCATAAGCCCCGCCCTCCAACTCACCTTCTTCACCTGCAGTAGGGCCGACCAATCACAATTAGAGAAGAACTAGTGATTATTCGTGAAATCTCTGGATAGTATTTAAAGATTCCAAACAAGATCTAGAACGTATCACCCATTATCGGTTAGAAACTATTTGTCCAGGGAAATATTTATAGTGAGCTTAAAAGTTGCTATTCAGGTTAGGAACCATAACGCAACTTTTTGAAGGCTTTCTAATTAATCTAATGAGTAAACAACAATACAAGCATAAAAGAATGTTATTTTTAATCAATAATAATGCAGAACAGGGGCTGTATGATTCACACCGCAATGCCAAAATGAGATCACGGCGAAAATTAGAGTGAATTTTCATATCGCATTAATATGAGCCATAGAGAATGTGAACGGTTGGTGGTTAGAATGTAGTCAGAGAAACATCAATCTATTAATTTCTGTTAAACCAACTGCACATTGCTTTCTAGTTTAAGTGTAAATCAGTTATCAGAGAGAGACGGGTTACATTTTAGTGTTATGATAAAATATAATAACATAAAGTGCCAAAACATGAATATTTAAGTATTGTTTTATCTGCAAGCTACTGTGTTTATCAGAAGTACACTATAAAAGAAAATGCACAGACTTCGTGTTGCTCGTTTAAATGCTGTGTATTTGATTAAATGTTCTCCACCGAGAGATTGTAAAACATATTTTTTTACAATCAGCCGTAAGTACAGAGTATGTCAACAATATAAAGACTTATGAATGACTCATGAATTTAGATTATATGTAAATGTTGTTATGGGTTTGTGATTTAGCTTTTGGCCAGCGTTTTCTTATTGTCATGCGAATGATTTATAACTACACAGAGCCAATATCAGCAAATCAGGGATTGTCAAAAAACAGTTCTGTAAACAATTACCGGTCCAATGAAGCTATTCCACAGTTCCCTCTGATTTATTCTGAAGTGCCTGATGGTCACAAAAAAGCTTTGATGGATCTACTCTAAACAGCCAGTGCCATGCAGTATTGATTGAATTATTAGTCATTCAGTAGTGTAGATTGCTTTACAATCTCTACATAGTAGGGTTATATTCATTTATACACCGTATTAGAGTGCATATAGACATTTCCAGAGCTTTGAGATGCGCAAATCAATGCCATTATGTTACTATCAGGTGCATTATAAATGCTTTTAGAGCTGACATGTTCAACTGTGGGAGAAAAGAGACATTTGAGTGAGATGTTAAAGGGATATTTCACCCCAAAATGTTGATTCTGTCATCATGTCCCACCAAACCTGACTTTTTAAATGTTTGTACTCTTACAAAGAAAACATACAGTATGTCAAGCTCCAAATTGGCAAAAAGCATCATTTTAGTACCATAATCATATGAATGACTTTTATGCTGCTTTTTTTGTCCTTATTTAGAGCTGGACAACCTGTGATCACTATATTTTGTATGGTAACAAGGAACGTATAACATACAGGTTTGAAAGGACATGGGGATGAGTGAATGATGACAGATTTTAATTTATTTTTTGAGTGAATTTTTAATAGCCTACAGGTAACCCCCACCCCTTTACAAGAACAATATCTGATGTCAATCTATGAATCCAACCAAATTTACTGTATCATCACTGACTGACAATCATAATTAGTTATTATCACTCACATTTTAGTCTACATGTTTGATCGCGAGAATAACGTGCATCAGTGTACTAAGTGGCAGCAGTCTGTGCTAAAGGTGTTGTTTATTTCCAGTACAGTAGCCATTATTCTCTGCAGTGAGTGTTAATTCTCTGTATACGTTAAAGACGCACATGTGCCAGTAAATGATGGATGTACCAGCACTCTCTCTTTAGTCAACACTTGCGGTCATAAAGTACCAACGATGTATGTAAAACTTCTGTGATTATAAACGTGCCAATTTTGAAATGCAATATGCTTTTGTTGCAGCTCATAGTTGTCGGTGAATCACACTGCGGAGTTGAGGTGATTATTGAAATGTACAGTAAAGTGATGGTCGTCTCGATCGCGCAGATCTTTTCAAAATGTGGAAAATGTATACGTTTTTCCTTGGTTGTTATTTTAAAGCTGAAGTGTGTAATTTGCGTGCTTCTAATCATCAGCAAACGAAAATGCATAAATAATGACAGATTTCGAACGCTCCTCATCTCTCATTGGCCGGATAAATATAGCCCCGCCCCTCGCGAAATAAAGAACTTAGAGACAGATTGCGCTTTTCTTTAAAAAAAAATAGTATTTATGATGTAAAATACGTTCTGTACTTAATATGCAGAGACAACTATAAAGTCATTTGTAGCTGGATTTTTTTTCAAAAAGTGTAAACACTGTGGCTCTTTGGTGCTATAAAATGTTTGGCTTGAGCATCACGACCTTATCTCAACAAATAGCGTGAGTTTCGGGCGGGACGATTATGTTTTTTGGCCAATGGCAGACGAGGGGATAATTGATAAATGCCATAAATTCTCACCAGTGATGACAAAAGAAATTATATTTGTTTGAGCTTTCTCATTTCTCTTATCGTCATTAACCTGTAAATCATGATCTTGAAAATGCTCTCAGTGATAGTGAACTTGTCTGTAGAAATAAATTGTGAAATCCTAACGGAAAGCGTCAGAGGTTGCTTGGATCACGTGACCTTACAGCTTCATAGGTGTTTGTGTATATGAGGGGCCGAGCTCCCTCTGTGGCTCTTTCTAGATATAGCTGCATGAAAAGGACAAAAAAATAGATTTTTTGCTGCTTTCTATGCTCTTGACACCAGCCGTCATTCTGAGCGTGAGCTCGAAAGGTAACGACCATGTCTCAAAGCTGTTACAGACGTGTTTTCTTGTGCTTGTAATACATCTGCCTGCCAGTAGGTGGCGCTGTTTATTCGATTGTTTATTTAAGCGCTGTATATTTGAGGAACGAGGAGATTAGTGGGAGATTTTATGTGTCTCTCGTGTAGGTCTGACATGTCTCATTGTGTCTTCATATTGTGGACTAACTCATTTCAATCTGAATGTAACACCCGGACAACAACTGTATCATACATTCAGCTGCTCTGTAACGCTGCCTGCTGTTTCTTCTGCTTTGATGTAGAGATGATGTCCATGTTTGACCTGTGAACATTTTTGTACGTGTCTGAATTCCATTCTTGACAAACCGTTCTTGAATTTCTGGAATTTATGTAGTTCTTTCTATATGTATGTGTCGTCTTCGAGTGTGTGAGAGAGATATAGACATATAATATTAAAATAGCTGTAATTTGACCTAATAAATAGCCTATTTAATAGAAAGCAAAAACAGTGTCAAGAGAGACATACAAATGAACTGTCAGCATCTAACAGGGGTACAATTATAAAACAGTTTATAATTAGTATAACATATAAAGTACAATACAATTGTTAAAACTGTAAACATAATTTGTTCTCAGTGTAACATTACAACATAACTAGTTGAAAATTCCCTTTCAAAAAAAGTAGTAAATGCTATCCTGCATGTTATTTTACATTCATTTTACCGGCTGATTGCTCCAGTTGTTGGTATTCAGCTGTAATGTCTGCAGACATACTCTACTATTCAAAAGTTTGGGGTCAGTAAGATTTTTTTTAAAGAAATTAATACTTTTATTCAGCATGGATTGATCGAATATGACATTTATAATGTTACAAAACACTTCTATTTCAAATAAATGAACTTTCTATTCAATGATTCCTGAAATGTTTTCAACATTGATCATAAAAATTTAAAAAAAATGTTTCTTCAGCAACAAATCAGCATATTAGAATGATTTCTGAAGGATCATGTGACACTGAAGACTGGAGTAATGATGCTGAAAATTCAGCTTTGCATCACAGGAATAAACTCTATTTAAAATATATATTCAAATAGAAAACAGCTATTTTAAATTGTAATAATATTTCAGGTTTATACTCCATTTTATATGAAATAAATGCAGTCTTGGTGAGAATAAGAGACTTCTTTCAAAAACATTTAAAAAAATCTTACTGACCCCATACAGTGTACATACTGTATCATGAAAACCAAACTGAGAACAGTACAACTTAAATATATGCTGCGGAGAAGAAGTATTATTCAGTTTCTATCAATGTTCAAAGTTGTTGTAGAAAAAACACTGGCATGTAAGTACATTCAAAGCTGCATCCTGTATCATCATCAGCGATAACAAATTAATCACTTTAAAATTAAATGCCTCCAAACTGATGAACATTAATCATGTTCTAGCTCAGCACTTGGATGGAATGAGGATGTAAAAAAAAAAGTTGTAATATTTCATATCTTTTGCATACCACAAATCTAATATACAACCAGAATTTTCAAATGTTAATCAAGCATTTGCTACTGGGCCCCAATCAAATCTGTACTTTAATCAAACCTCCACACACTTAAACTGGCTGTGTCACAATCTGCTTGTTGTTCTTCCACCTGCAAATCTCTTTTCAAACATGTATGGCATAAACATGCTAACTGAACTCAAATGACATATGCCAAATCCATAAAAAAATGTATTTGCAACATGACCTTGATAATGCCGTACAATGACCCGTTTCCTCTTCTTTGAACGTCTTCCACAGACATGAAGCTCTTGAAGTCTTTAGCAAGTCTTTGCACCTGCATCATTCAGGTGTGTTCACACAGACGTGATGTAGTATGGCAAGCCATTTTGACTTTTATTCATTCTCAGGATATGAATTCTTGATATCAACAATTCAATTTTCACTAGTTAAAATGTTAATTCTTGATATCAGGAATTAGATTTCTACTAGTAACAATGGCTATTTTTGATATCAGCAATTACATTTCCACTAGTAACAATGTTAATTCTTGATATCAGGAATTAGATTTCTACTAGTAACAATGGCTATTTTTGATATCAGCAATTACATTTCCACTAGTAACAATGTTAATTCTTGATATCAGGAATTACATTTCAACTAGTAAAAACTATAATTCTTGATATCTGTAATTGTATTTTCACTAGTTAATTGTCACCATAGGCTGCCATTCCAAATCAATTGTTGGTATCAAGAATTAATTTCTTACTAGCTTAATTCTTACATGTTAAAATTACATTTTCACTAGTAAAAATTGTTATTTAAGATATCATGAATTCCTTTTTGGATATGTGCATAGTAATGAATTCCTTTTTGGATATGTGCATAATTTAACGACGAGTGCAACCCTTTATGAATGTTTCGCGAAGGACCCGAGTTCGATTCCACCTTCTGCCGAACTCGTTCTTATCCCTTTTCACATCCCGTATCACATCGGAAAGGCATATATTTTCAATAATTTGTATCTTTGTATCTAATGGTCTCTCTGAGGGCTAAGCCCCCCTGAGGATGAAACCCTAGAACCGCCCCTACATTTAAAATGAAGACACCATTTTATTTATCTCTTTTGAGATAACATATAGTCTCTATTCCGTTTTATTTTGTGTTGTTTTGCCAAAACAACACTCAATGTTGAAAGGGATAGTAGAGACAAGCACATTTCCAAAACAGAAAAAAATATTTATTAATTATTTAATGATACAATTGTTGTGAAGTCTTAAGTAAACACATTTATAGTTACAAACTTAAAACAACAACAATATAGCCTAATAAAATAGCATAATAATAATTATAATAATAATAATCATATAAAATAGCCTAATAATAATAGTAACAATAAGCAATGAACCAGATGGGCAAAATTACACAATTCTTATTAAATCGTTGTCCATTCTCCGAACCAACTACAATTGAGAGACTGTTATTCATGTCTTAACTTTCAGAAGAGTGTATCAGTGCAGTGCCATATTTAACGTAGCCTAACATTGAAATGGCTGAGACAGACATGAGAAAGAGGTTCAATAGACTTTATCATTCATCTTGTCCACTTCAAGAACTGGACAACATGTTATATAAAAGTAATGCCTATTAGGACACGACTCATTCATGTAGCCTAAATACAACGATATAAATTTTTTTTTTTAAAAAGTCCAGTAAAATGTTCAAACTTTGTATGACGCATTATTATCTGTTATATTTTTCCTTTTGGTTGTATTTTTTATTTGATGTATTAGAAGAAAGTGTAATAAAACAAAAAATAAACATGAAAAAACGGCATGAAGTTATTTTTTATGTTAAAGCCAAAT